ACACTGTCTTCCAATCTCTATTTGTCTCATTCTTCATTTGTTACTGTCTCTTTTTTCTATTTCTCTTTTTTTTTGGGTTTATATCTAACTCAAATGTCTCTTTATTTCAAACAGACAGACAGACAGACAGACAGACAGACAGACAGACAGACAGACAGACAGACAGAGTGAATGAGATAGTGAGAAGGAAAAAGACATACAGAGAGAGATGTTTTAGAATCTTTTCTTTCTCCTTGCAGTATACCAACTTTTCCTTTTAGAAACCAACAACACATAGATCTGGTTGCTACAAAGGTGGACCACAAATCCCTCCTCCGATACCCTGTTTACTGCTATAAATCCCAAAGTCAATGGACTCGAGGACCAACGACTCTGGTGTAGCGGTTAAAGGGTCTTTGCAACTGCTCGCAGAAGACATTAGTTCGATAACCGAAAAGACAGACTGTTTATGAAGTAATGCATTCTGATGCGATATTGCATCCCGTCCTTATTATTTATTCTCCCCAGTATACTTTTATCAGAACTGGTGGCTGGTAAGCAAGACAATATTCGACTAGACTCTGTGTCAAAACATGAACTTCCACAAACTTGTCAAATTGAAAACATGCTAAGACACTACAGTATAACATAATGTGCTTTTTTGGGACTGGTTATTCAATTATAACAGCAGAAAATTCAAATACACAGATTTTACAAGAAAATCTTTGTTTTTACTTTAGAAACGGACAAATTTATTTAGACGAAGCTGGGCTCTTTAGAACGTTTCGTCAAAGAACGGTCCCTTAATCAGTATTATTGTTATAAATATTAGTATTATTATGTCCGAGCGATACTTAGAAACAGCTTTGGTTAGTCCTACATCTTCCATGGATGGATTTTCGAATTCTTCGGGATCTCAGGCGTGGTTGTATACTTTTTGGAATTCTCTGATTTAATCAGATACGACGCATGGGCTACTTTGGGATGTTCTGTATCTACGCCACTACACCTTTCTGTAAAGTTTGGGTCTGTGACATTTAGGCGACTGATTCCATTGCCTTCCGTTTCTTCAGCATCTAGATGAGGCTGTTGTATTGTAGTAGCTTTTCGTGATGACGTCTATTGAGTTTATTAGCACTCATTGTCCGTCATCTGCCGAGTACGGCGATTTCAACCCAAACATCGGCCGCAATCAATGTAGTTTACCTGTGAATAAACGAATGAAAAATAATAAATTATGTGTAGTTTTTTTTTCATTTTGATTTGGAAATAAAACAAATCAAATCTTGAAAGGCTAAAGAAGTACAACGCATTAGATTATCGATAGAATCTCCTATCACGTCGATCTTTGGGCTCACACATGCATCTACAGGTCTTAATCAAGGATATGAATACACATGTATTTAACAAGAGAACAAAAAAAAAAAAAAAAGGACACCGTTTGCATCCTATGGAATGTGCATGTACTCTTAAAACGAGAGCCCCTAAGTAAAACAAAGTCTAAAGATAGAATCGAACATCCACTCGTAACTTTACTTCTTTTTTTATTTCACACTTCCCTTTTAAAGGGGCGGTTTAGCCCAAATATTCAAAAGGATTGTGCATTTTGTGATACAAGCACCAAATTTGGCACAAATGTACATTAATATAAAATAGACACTTTCAGATATTGAGCCACTAGGAATTCTCTCTTTATGTCCGCCATATTGGATTTCAAAATGGCCGCCATTTGAAATTTATATTTGCGATTTTCTCTGGGGTAAATGCTGCTATTGACTTCATTTGGGAGTCTAAATGTATGTTTTTTTTGGTCAATGAATCCAATGATATCTATTTCACAATCCAATGCACAATCTAATGCACAATTCTAATGCACAAATCTAAACCAAAAGAACAAATATAAAATTCTAATGCTTGAATCTAATCCAATGAACAATTCAATGAACAATCCAACGGCATCATTTTCAACGTAATGTTATCTTTCACACTCTGTTATATAAACTGATCTTGGAAAATGTTAGTTTGAACACGACACTTTGAAAAGAATGATCATATGAAAGTATGTTGATTGATTGATTGCTTGATTGAGTAGGAGTTTCACGGCACTATCGACTCATATTTGAAAGCATATTAAATGGGTGTAAAAGTCTTAAGTCTGTAAATGTCTTAGGTACAATTCTGACATGCTACATGGTCTAATTTCTGAGGCTAGGTGTATACCCTCATTCTTCAATGGTCTGAAGCTAGTTAGACATCGGTACTGGAGATACGTTTACATAAACAGTGTCATGTTAACAAGTTCAGCACTGCCACAAGTACATGTATGTTGTGGACTCATCGCCATGTGCAGTCCCCTTCACACACAGAGGACAGCTTTCTTGCATTTGCAGAGCCTCACACACCATAAATGGCACTTTAAAACCCCCCAGCTCAAAACAGCTGCGAGCTGCCTCATGTAGCCTGGTCAAGTATGGTGTGCACTGTCCTCCAGTCATTGATCAACCTCAGTTGGTTGGTGGAGGGAGCTCTGGTGCTGGCAAAAGTATCTGACCCCACACATGTCCACCTTGATACACTCCACTCTTGATGTGTTCCTCTAAAGCTGCCTTCGTCGGGGGGATCAGCTGCACATCGTTCTTCCTTGTGAAGAGTTTCCTCCTGGGGTCGGAGACTTCTTCCTAGCATGTGATGAGATCATTCTTGGTACAAGTGAAGAAGTTCCCACCTGCAGACAGTACAGGAGGACATGCCTGGTTGTCGTGACGAAAGAACTCCTCAAGGTTTCCATCCCTCGTCTGCCAGCCAATGTACAGGCGTGCGACGAGTTCACGATCATTTTTGACGGAGGCGAGCTGTTGCTAACATATGCTCTTGTTTCTGGGAGTGGAAGTGTTAGAATCTAAACACCTTCAGCTTGTTACAAGGAATGGGGTCGTCCACCGCCTTTGTTCTGTCCAACAGACATTCTCTGGTGAAAGCCTCGGACTGTTTTTGGTCAATCCTCTTGGTATTCATCCCCGTCTCCACGGCAGCAGGACCTGCGATGTCCTTTGAGTCCAGTATGACTCTCCTCCTCGAATGGGGTGCTCATCTCCTCTATGACACCGACGAGAGGGCGAACATCTTTCACAAATGAGGCCTGTACACTTGGCGTCTGATCATGTGACGTGTGTCTGCTGTTTGCCGTCTCCAGTATTGGTTCCCGTCCTGGAATTCTTCGACCACCCTAGCAATTTCTGGTCTTGCAACCACCCAGCGACGAAGGGCTTTAGGATTGTCAGTGAGCCCAACTGCGCCGCCGTTTCCTTTGATGTAGGCATTATTCTGCTAATGTGCCTGGTCAATCGGGATTGAAGAGAACACCCTCTGAGTTTTCTCAACTCTGAAATGGCCTTCACTGAATTTCCCGGCTACGTCTGGGTGTTTGGTAGTGAGTTCGGCGATGTTCTTCAGGTGCACTGGTATCCACCTAGCATAGTGGGTATGATCTAACGCAATGCAGATTGTTACCGTTTGATTCCTTGACCCCCCCCCTCCCCAAAAAATACATTTAAACACCAAAATGAAGTCAATAGCAGCATTTGATGCAGAGATAATAGAAAAATTTAGATTTCAATTGGCGGCCATTTTGAAATCCAATATGGCGGACATTAAGAGAGAAATCCGAGTGGCCCAATATCTGAAAATGTTTGCAATATGCTAATGTACATATGTGTCAAATTTGGTGCTTGTATCACAAAATGCACAATAGGTTTGCTAAGCGCCCCACTATTTTCACTCTCTTCCATATTATCCTTCAAAATCGTCTTTTACACTCATTATCTGACACACCACCTTAATGCACTCACTAGAGACTCAACAGTTTTTGACAGTTTTGTGAGTGCACTGATAGTCATAACATGAAACACTGTAATCCTCCCCCCTCCCACCCCACCCTCCCCCCTGACAAAAAAAAAGATATGTAAAATTAAATCAAAGTAAAAGTAAAGTCTTAAATTATAAATAAAATAAATAATCTTAACGAATAAACAACTAAATCCGTAAATAAAACTTCAACCTATAGCAAATCGCAAAAAAACCCCCCCAAAAAAACTGGGAATAAAAGATTGTTCGTTGCCGACTTCTCTACGGTAATAGTGAAAGAAAGTGAGACAGACAGACAGCCCGATAGATAGGTTCGTAAGCTAGGTAGGTAGATAGCTAGCTAGTAGATAGTACGTTGGATGGTTGATAGGTTGGTGAATAGATTGGTCGTTTGTTAGTTAGATAGTATGTATGATTGCACGTATGCCCGTAGGTTAGCACGGTATTGCCCAAGGGGGGAAGAAAAGAGAAGACAATGAGAATAAGCAGGAGATAAAGACAGCGAAGGAAGAGGGGGGGGGGTGTCGAAGAAGAGAAGGAGAAAAATACTTATAAAGCGCTTTCCCCCCA